CATAGAATTCAAAGAGGTTGTACTTTCTTTTTCACACGACTGTATTTCTCTTGGCATTACATGTATGTGTGTGTATATATATATATATATATATAGTAGTTAAATCCAAATGTTTTAGACTAGACCACTTTAAGTGGGACTCAAGTTGTCCTCTTTGATTTTAATGGGTTTATTTGAAATATGACTACTTCTGTATCCAATGGGTACATTTTTAAGCATCCCATTCATCTGAACAGGAGAAGAAAGGGAAAAAAGACAGATCCGTGAAAGGGAAATTAGCTAGGTCCCACTAAAATTAACAGGACTTTGAGGTTTCTTGCAGCCAATTTGTTCCACTGATTTTAATGGGATTTCAGCTGGTTTTGTGGATCAATGTCATTGAAATCAATGGGATATAAACATGTTCATTTAACCATCTCCATCCCAAGTTCGTTTGAATCTCAGACTCTTTTAGAATACAGGTAGTCCTCACTTAGTGACCACAATTGAGACTGGCAACTCCATTGCTAAGCACCATGGTTGCTAAGTAGAAAATCATGTGACTGTGACAGGCTTATGATGTCACTTCTCTGGTTGTTAAGTGAGACATCATGTGACCACGACCTGCCATTTTACTTCTGCATTCTCCATTAACTCTGCTTACTGAAAACCGCTTGTGAAGTGCGTGAATGGCAATCATGTGACCGCGGGATGCTACAACAGTTGCAAATGCGAGGATTGGTCACAAAGCTGTTTTTTTTTTAATGCCATTATAACTTTGGTCATTAAGTGAAGCAGTTGGTAAGTGAGGACCACCTGTAAATAATTTAGCAAGTCGTCATATCTTCCACAGATATACCCATACATCTAAACTGAACACTAAATTTTCCACCCTTAAGTGTGCTAATAATTAAACAGCAGGGATGGGTAAGCCTTTAAGGGGCTAAGGAACACAGCTTTCTCTTCAACGTAACAGAAGCTTCACTTCAAAACATGAGGAAAGTTAGAACAAAAACTCAATGATTTTATTTAAATTTTACAACAAATAAATGCATACAGTTAGCATGTTTATTCCCTATGTGCTTTTTTTTTTTTTGGTCTTTTTGCTACAGTAGTGTGATGCAGCAGTTAAGGTGTTAGATTAGAAGTAGGGAGATCCAGAAATCCAAGTCCACTCTCAGCCATGGATATTCACCACATGACTTGGGCCAGTCACCTTCTCTCGGCCCAAGCTGTCTCACTGCATCTTTCTATATGTGTGTGAGAGTGCATGGGTGTGTATTTATGGATTTATAAACCCTTTCAGTCAAGGCAACTCTAGGTGGTATACAAAAGCAACACCCACAACCCATGCAATAATAACAGTTATTGCACTGAAGTACAGTAATATACAAGAAAACGAACACTAAACGGATACTTACATGCAATCACGCAGTCTGATCCTGCAATGCCCATGTTGCAGAAGTTTACTTAATGGGCTCGGAGCCAAGGCAAGATTTGAATCAGGGATCTGACAGTTCATTACACATTCCCATTCTTAACCACTACTTTACAGAAGCTTTTAATGAGTTGAATCATCAAAACATCTCACTTAAAATTACTGCCTTGGGAATATTCAGAACAGTGTGTGTGTGAAGGGGAGGGATAATAAAACTTTCCAGAAAAACAGAACTAAAACTCAAATCAGAAATTCAAGTATATCCGATGCAGCTTGCTGAAGGGCTATTTTACTGTGAAATGAAAAAGATGACAGAATTCCCTTACAAAACATAAAAGTAACCCAGTTCTCCCAATTTACTGTGTGGCTCCTGAAACCTATAGTGGGGACCTGGAATCCACATCGAGGTTTGGCAGGAGGGAGCTTGAAAATGATCCCATTTTGATATCAAAACTAGTATTCCAAGAATTCAAAAACATCATAGAGCAAGAGAAGTAAAATCATAGGTATAAACTGTGAGTTCTTCACGTTTGAACAGAATTAAATTGATGCTTTCTACTCTAAGAAAGCTTGGACAAGCAGAGTGACTTCCTTCTATGCAACTGACACCATCTACATCTTGCCAAATCTAACAAGTTGCATACAATACCCTTGACAGAGAGGTTGGGAACATGGGAAAATACTGCAAAACCACAAATGATTCATTATGGATTAGTTAATTATAATTCCCATGGGTTGATGCAATACTTCAGATTTAACCAATCTGAAGTATTGCACAAATATTGTTTTCAGAGTTTTATCATTTCTGTTCCTTACATCAATCAACTATCAGAGTCGCTCTTGAGTGAGATGGGCGGTGACTAATTTGAAATACAAATAAAGCATAATTACACAGGTATTTGTGTGTATATGTATGAATGTGTGTATGTGTATGTATGCTTCTGTGTATGTGTAGGATGTGTGTGTGTGTAGGACAATTGAGACCAAAAAAAAGGGAACATGAAATCATTCCATTGTACCCAAACTCTAGAGCTGGTTGGAGAATGTGGCTGGGATTCTAAAATGTCTTGGAAGGCTGAATAAGTTGAAAACACAGATATCTTTATAGGCCTTTAAAATATGAGAATATCTAGCAAACATAAGGACTGTCCACGGGTCACATTATGTAAGAAGCTGGTGGGCTTAATCAAGGTCTGTAGCATGACAACATTGGTTTCTTCCCTGATTAGTGAGAAATAGGGCACTTTTCTGAAAATACCCAAGCACCTATCAAGTTATAGAGTTCAGGGAACTGAGTGACTCTGCCCATTTCCATTCAACTCTCTCCTGTGTTATTTCTGAAAGGACTCCTACATTATGGGGAAGGTACACATATTATATCCATCCTGCCAAAATGAATGTCATGGTGGACATGGTCCATCCCAAAACACACATTCATTAGAAGGCAAACTAGATGCCCAGAATGTTATTGTTCATCCAAGATGGCAGAGGCAATACTTCATTTTGTAGCATCCTAGTTCCCCCTTTATTTATTTCTGTATTAAAAGAATCTTCTTAAAAAGGGAGCCACTTTTTAAGCCAATTGTCTTAAAAAGGGAGCCACTGGGTTACATTGGTACACGTAGGCAACATGTTACCCGCCCAATTGTTCCTGGTTATGATTTTTAGTTTAATTCTATTAATCTATGATTGCAGCTCTGGGCATACTTATTTAGCTCTGAAGCAGTGGAACTAATTCCAAATACATTACATATGGAATCAGGCAGCCCAAGAGGGAGATCGTATTGGCTAGGTTTTAGAAAAGCTGGATATTTTTTATTTCATTTTCATGAAAAAAAAATCTGCATCTCTTGTCTCAGAACATTTTTAAAATGGGCAAAATATTGCATGTATTACGCACACACACAGACATGCACATTGCCATGGGGAAGAATAACAGAACTACTGCCCGAACAGCACTGGTTAAACCCAGTTTTGTTTTTGCTTTTCAAAGCCCAATCCAGAAATTTTATTGCTTCAGCATAATTCAACAAAGATTCTTCTGAATTACCTGTTGCAAAAAGGAGTTTCCTGGGATCCTAGAAAGCAGAGACAGACACAAACAGTATGAATGATTTAGCAAATAAGCAAAGCAGGAAGAACTCCATCAGGATGCTTCGCCAGAGGCATGTTTCTGGAGATGAAATGCTGAGCTTGGCTATAAACAATCTGTCTAAATCATATCTCATATCTGAACCTTTTTAAAATGTTGGTCAGAAACCGTGTGAGATGGAAGAGAGCATTTCCTCGGCAATTAGGAGTAAAAATGGAAGAGAAACTCTGGAAAAAAAATAATTTAACCCATTTGGACCTCTTAAATATGTATCCAAACTAGAATGCATTTGAGCACCAAACCTCACATTTTTTGGAATGACAGTGCAGTTCTCAACATAAACTAAAATGTAAAAATTGTAGGAAAAGTACTTGGAAAAAAAGGTATGCTAAATTCCAAATCATGCGTCCTTTGGTCTTATTAATTCAGTGTGAGAGGAAAAGAGGAAATAAAATTTACAAACCCCTTCAGAATTAACCATATTGTTATTAAATTACAGGGATAACTGCTTTATTGGAAAGTTTATCCTTATTCATTTTTCAATTATTACTACAAATACAGATTAAGGCAAAGTGTCCTGCTTCCAGTTCACAATTCTTCCACCCATAAGCGTTCTCCTTCAAAGATATTTATGGTTTCTTTAATTCTTTCCAAAACATATTTTCAGACGGGTAGCCTTTAAAAAAACAACAACTGTAAATAGATATTTTAATCACCAGCTGTTCCTATGCTGGTTACGCCAATGAGAGCTGTAATCCAACAAAGCTGGAAGAAGCTAGATTATGGATGAATGGTGATGGGGACTGGAATCCAACACGAAGGGGCCCAGTTTGTGGAAGGCTGGTTGGCAATAAGCGTGTCAATCAATCTGCAGAGAATTTTGCAGAGGACTGCAAAATGTGGCGACTAGGTAAGTTTCAGTCCATCTGTTGGCCTGAGAAATATGAAACAGGTCTTGTTCATATTTCATAGATTATGGAAAAAAGGAAATTACGATGTAGCCTTAGAGAGAGAGGGTAAAATATAAATGTACTTATAACTGCTGTTAAGAAGATCAGAAGCCACTTCTTTATTACGTTTTTTTTAATTTTCTATTTCTTTTGCTTTATTCCTTTTTCACGTTCTTATTCCTTTTCCCTATTCTTTTTCTCTCCAATGCAAAATTTGTATTGTTTTTATTCTGTTGAAAACTTGCAATAAGTTTTCTGTAATAATTCTGTAATAAAAATGATTAAAAAACAGAGATAATAGACATTTCCGAGTCTCAAAATATTGTTTTTGGGGGGTCAGGTATTAAAAATCCTAGGATCACCTCTATGGAACCAAGAGCACTACAAAACTGGATTTCCTATCTGACTAGGGAACATGATGAGTCCCCAGCCAATCAGATGATGCTGTGGCAGGCACCTTGCAAATGTCCTCTGCTCCCTTTTTTAAAAAAAAAGCATTCAGGGAACAACAGCAACAATGAGAAAAGCCATTTCCCTAATGGTTTTGTTAAACATCCTATACTAGTCATAGAATCTTGGTGAAGAGTGTCATTCTCCTGACTCTTAGCTTGCTGCAAGAGTTGGGTGCCTTGGCATGCCAGCATCAGAAAGGCACCACTGTTCATGAAGAAAACACCATATTATGTTGTTTTTTCCTATTCCAAAACAGGAAAGAATGCTATGTTTAGGTGTGAACCAGGGATGGGAGCTAAGAGTTGGCTGACTGAGCCTGCATGTAAACATAATGTCTTGGTTCTCGCAATGACTGGAACAGCCCAAAGCAACATTGCCAGGCCTTTAAACTGGAACTGGAAGGGTTTGCAGATGGAAAGCCATGTTGTCTGAAAGTGAAACGGCCCTCTTGAAAACTAATATTGAGATATCAACAATGCTCTAACCTGAGAATAAAACTCACAATTGGGCATCCAGCTATCTGATCTTTCTCCATGACCTTCCTAGAAGACCTCTCCAAGTCAGTGCCCTCCAGAAGAACAGACACTAAAGCTCCCAAATGTCCAATAAGCATGGCCTTTGTTGGTAATCCTGACAGTTTTAGCTCCAGGACATTTGGAGAGTAGAATCTTACTTCACTGCACCACTTTACTACAGAATGCCTCACTGTCTGGCTGCCAAAGGTCACCCAAGAAACAGCAATTTTAAGGAAGAAAACAAAGATCAGCCTTCTCACTTCGCCATGGTAGCTGGCTGCATTGAGTGCGAGGAACTCTTCACTGTAATTCACAGAGAAGTTCAAGGCATTCACCAAGTGAGCAGCAACATGAATCACTAAAATAGAACAAAGAGCTCATTTCACCAAAATGAAAAGTGAAGATGTTTTCCCAAAACCCTCATTCCATGCTGGTTGAACGCAAGTGGACCTGCAAACAAGTTCAAGATTCCCTTTCTTCTATTTATTCCATTCCCCAGATGACGTTTCCCCCAACAACCTCTCAAATATCATATCCTGTAATAAATAATAAATAATTATTCTTGATTCTTACTTTCCCCATCCTTTCAGATTTTCTCCTCTAAAGATCATTTCAATTTCAGGAAAGTATTAGGATAACCCCAAGTAAATGGATACCTCCCTTTTATACACGAATAGCAGCATTTTGACTATATGGACAACATAATGCTTGCTCTTTCTTGTTTGTGTCTCAGTGTGGGCAGACTGGCCATCATACAGCTCTAAAAACAGCCTATTATATTTTGCAGATTATTTTATACCCACTTAA